AAAACTATAGTCCGGCCCTCCAACAGGTCTGAGGGACAGTGAACTGGCCCCTTGTTTAAAAAGTTTGAGGACCCCTGATTATAACTCTTCGTGGGAACAGAAAGCCTCATTTTTCTTCCGAGGAGCAGCTGGTGGTTTTGAACTGCTCATCTTGTGGTTCGCAGAAGTTACACACTAAGAAAAGGCATTTCAATGAAAGAGTTCAGCTAAGATAACTATAAATAAGCAAACAACAAGCAGTCCCCAAAAGGGATTGGGAATTAACATCTAAAATGCCCAGTGTTCCCACTATCCAAAATTAACAAAACATGCAAAAAAGACCCCAGGAGTGACCCACACACTGGAAAGAGAGTAGGCAACAGAGAACAAGATTAAGGATATAAAGATAGAAAGCAGAACCATGTTCAATCTAAAAAGTTGAAAATTAAAATAAAATGAAAATTTCGTGAAACGGTCTAACAGTAGATCTGAACTGTCCAAAATAACAAGTAGCAAATAAATTGGAGATAAACTTAGAAATTATCCAATTCAAAACTTAAGCATGAACAGAGTCTTAGAGAAATGTGCTTCCAATAAGCACATCAACACATGCATATGGGAAATATCAGGGAGAAAGGAGCATGGAAAATGCAAATGGCTGAAAGCTTCCCAAATTTGTTGAAAAAAACAAATTAATCTACGCATCTAAGAAGCTCCACGAATTTCACGTAGGACACCCACAAAAAACCTATACATAGGCACAGCATAATGAAGTTGGTGGCAAGCTTTAAAGCAGCAAGAGAAAAATGATGAATTCAAAGTAAATCCAGTAAGATTAACAGCTAATTTATTTTAAACAATGAAGGCTAGAGGCAGTAAAATGACATTCAAAGCTCTAGAAGGAAAAAATTGTCATCCAAGATCTAACATACAAAACGATCTTTCAAAATGAAAGCAAAATAAAGACAAAAATGGAGAGCTTATGCTGCTAGCAGCCTTACAAAAAACCTCAGAAAGTTTTTCAGCTTGTAAGCAAGTGACTCAGACAATCATCTGATAAAGAGAATTACATCTAAAAAACACTTATAAAAGGGGGTGGGGGTAAAAAACCAAGTACTTCTTCAGCTTCTCTTTAATTCAAAAATTAGTTCTATAAAGCAATGTTTTTTTATGTGAAGGTGCTTTTAAAAAGTCCATGGGGGAAAAAAAAAAAAAAGTCCATGGGAAAAAATCCTTTATCTTTTAATTTCATTTTCCATGACTTTTTTGAAGCTTCTTCATAATATTCAAAAGTCTAACATAAAACACTCAATTGTTAAATTATTAACTATTAACATAACATTAAGTTTAACATAAAACACTCAATTATTCTCTCAGCTTCTTTAAAGGGCATACAATTACATACATAAATAATAACAAATATGTATAATATATATTTATACATGTATGCATATTTATAATTATTACTTACATATGTAATATATTATATATATTTATAATTATAAATAGGTCTATCACAGAAATATGAATTATGGAGACCAATGGGGCAATTAGGGAGGAAAGGGTTAAATCTGAGCTATAGAGAAGTAATGTTTTTATAGCTCATTGGAATTACATTGTCTAAATCTGAAATATATTTTTGACAATTTAAGGTATAGGTTGTAAGTCGTTAAGCAAACATTAAAACAGGGAATGTTCTAAAAGTTATGTAGGGGTGATTGTACAATTTTCCGTGATATGATCGAACTACTGAATATATGTAAATTACTTGTGAATAAAACTGCTGAAAAAAAGAATAAAAATATACTGCTGATTTTACAAATCTGAAAAAGCAGTAAACGTTAAAACAAATTTATAGTGAAAAGGATCACAGAAATTAAAATATTACACTAGAAAGTAGTCACACTATGCAAAGAAAGCCATAAAAGAGGACTAACAGGATAAAAAACATTAAGACACAGAAAACAAAAATTAAAAGACAAAAATGCAACAATACAGTAGCAAATATATTTGGACTAAATAATCTCATTAAAATTGTCAGATTGAGTTAACACTAGAACAGATCTAACCACAGGCTACCTATAAATGACACATTTTTGGCTCAAAGATAAGAAAGAGGCTTAAAATAAGAATGGAAAACATATAAACGCTTAAGCTAATCCTCTGGCCTCTGAGGAACCTGTAATTTGGTTGGAAATAGACCAGCATCTAAAGGGGACAGCAGTGGCTCCCAGCCTTCCCAGACAAGAGCGTATTCAAGAGGAAAAGTGAAGATCAAGGTCCTGGGGAAGCCGCAGTTCAGTGCTGTCCAGATACTGCTCACACCTGCCTGGACTTGGTACACTAGGAACCTCAAGAGGTAAGGGACCAATCACCATTTTCGGGGGGGGGGG